TAGATCAAATCAAGAAAGATTTTACCTTTGGAACAGCCTAATATGCGTTGGGTACAAAAATGTGTTTTTCATTCATAGCGAGTTTTACTTATTTCATCATTCAAATACTTTCTGTAGCGATTCCGAATCTAGACATAGTCTATGCGTTACAAACTCGTACAAGTCCTCTACTCATTGCAAAACAAATGATGATTGTAGGGGGGTTGAGTGGAGGCAAGTGAGGAATGCTGACAAGCCATCCATCATTTGCGGGCAATTCATCAGAAAGAAAAAACTGTATGACAGCTAATCGTTCATTATCTAGCTCACCTTCAACACATCTCTTTCCTGACGTGAACGCAACAAATCTTTCGCTAGGCTTTCCCTCTCATCCGCCTCCCAGCTCATCATAACCGTATTGAGGATATCCTGAAAAAATGCTATCGTTTCGCAAATCCTGTACTGAACACAACAAAAGGGAAGATAAGCTTGTTGATGAATTTTAATGCCTCACAAAAGTATAAGTATGCCACGGCAAGATTAGTCTGTTTTACAAAACCATGCCGTACTAAGTAGTTATCTATGTAAGAATAATTGATGATTTCCATGAGCACAGAAATAGAAAAAATAAAGCCTTTTCTCACTAATGCGTAGACTCAGATAGATTCTGCTACACTCTGAAATAAATCTCATCACTTTCCTTGTGATGGCAGCCACCGTAGTTTTGATAATAGAATTTCATTCTCGGATTGCTGGACAAAGGAGCGATTTCCTTGTAGAACTCAGTCGGTTAGAGAATTATTGTTGATAGAGCAGCGGAGGACAGACGGGTTGTGGGTTGCTTGAGATCTGCTCTCAAAGAAGTAGATGCCAGCGAGAAAGTGGACGAAGTCAAGAGAATGCAGATGCTCTGGGGAACACGCCTTCTAGATTACGGTCGCAGCTGGCACCTGACTCCTTGGTCCTTTACAGCGCAAGCAACCCAATAAGTAACAAAATGATATGAACAGAATCAAAAATCGTTCACACAAATCATCTACAACCAGCACCTAAGCCCTCCGAGAAGCTTCTATCAGTCTTGCAACATTTTGCAAGTTTCTTCACTTTCCGCAAAAGAAAATGCACTAGCGATTACCCACCGAATGCAGCACTTCTTCGTCTTCAGCAGCACTTCTAGCACTAACAGGTGAAGCCGAGCCATCTATGCTTTTTCCGCTACCACCTGGCGCACCGCTATCCATGGTACTGAGGATCTGTTCCAAGTCCGATTTCACCTAATAAAGCCCAATCACGACATTCCAA